TTTATTTTTCTGTTTTATTTATTTTAGGTTTTAAAGGCCTTTGGGCCTTATATGTTAAAGCCCTAGACCCCTTTAGTTTAAAAACCAAGGCCCAAACCTTTTCTTTTAGTTTTGTTTTATTTTATTTAAATTAAAGGCCCTCGGGCCTCGTTTGTTAGGACCCTAAGCCCTTTTCTCTTAAAACCCCAAAACCCATGTTGGCTTAAGGCCCTTAGGCCGTTTGGAAGTCGAGCCTTAGGCCCGTGACACTAAACCCCCTAAACCCAATTAAATCCTAAACCCAATCCACCTAAAAGTCTAAGCCTAAACCCTTTAACCTTTCAAACCCTAAACACCTAACTGGCCCATACCCTTTATGGGGAATATTCCATTAGGGAATATTCCTGAAATATTCTTATGTTGATTTTTACGAAACTTACTCGAGACTCTTCTTAGGGTAATTCGACGTCCTGAATCCGTTTCCGACGTCTGTTTTTCCAAATTCAATTGTTATAATAGAGTTTTATTAATTGTATCATTTATGTGCTTATGGGCAATTATAGTGGCGTTTTCGTCTTCGCTAGTTTGCGTGGCTCTTCGACGGCTAAGTATCTGTGAGTGAACCCCTTCTAAAATGCATGTTTTAATAGTAGAAATGCATACATGGAAAAACATGATTTAACAATTATGTTCTATGAAAAGCTTTGAGATAACATGCTTACTAAGGCTATTTTGAATTATTACTATTTTTCCTATAACTCGTGTTCTTATAAAATATATGATGGATGACGATATGATAGTTAGAACATGTTTAGAACACCTCTCTATAGTATAGATGATGGATGACTTTATACTATGAAGTTGTTTTTCAAATATATGTATATTCAATGGTTTTGTACTTACCTAGTGGTCCCTATTCCGCTACGGGATGAAGGGATAGATTCTGGTCCGTCCCGGGCAACGGTTATGGTGTTGGCATAGGGCCTGAAGTGGTTTTCCTCTAGCTATTAGCAAAGGGACGGGGAGCTGGAATGGGGCCTGAAGGGATATTTTCCTTTGGCTGTTCGCAAAGAGACGGGGAGCTGGCATGGGGCCTGGAGGGATATTGGATATTCACTAGTGATTATTATATATACAAGTTATGATTTGAGATATTGCACGGCATGCTAGGTTTCAGAAAACCTATGTTTATCATGATATATGTGTTTTCATAAAACCTGAGGGTTAGTACGTTGATAACTGTTTTATTATATATATATATATATATATATATATATATATATGTAATAACTTGGTCCACTCATGTTTGTTTTGCGCCCCCTTTAGGACTTAGAATCGAGGCATACAATCCCGGTGTCAAGGCACTTTCGCATCGGCATCTTCGAGTCCTCTCGGTGTATGATCCATCCTTTTATTCATTCAATTTTATATTAATTCTTTTAGCGTTCTAGATTATATGTGTGCTCTGAACACGTTCCTTAAATGCATATTCATTATTCTTTTATATGTATAAGTCTTATCTATCCCTTGTTTTCAGCAATTGCACTCAATAAATGGCTTTCGTCATCCTCGGGTGTCGGCCATCACGTGCCTATCCTGGTATTCGGGGAATATCGGGATCGGGGCGTGTCATCTGCCTTCAAATTTGATTACATGGTTTTCCACTTAGGATTTGACATCTCATTTGGAGATGGGCTAATTAACTAAAAAGGGAATTTGAATGCGCTCCCTAGGTAACAATGTTTTTTTTTTTTTACTCTAACTTTATTGATTATCAATTTTTTATTGAAGTCCATGACATTAATGTGTTTTCATGTCAGTTATTATATATATTTTTGGGTAAATTACATTTTAGCCTTCAAGTTTGTGATCAATTGCAACCTCATGCAACAGCTTTAAAACATTTCAATCTCATATGTTTAATATTATTTCATTTCAATTTCATACATCCGTTAGTCAAGCCGTCAATTTGACTGCTAAATGATGACATCACAAATATACGACTCACGTTTTTTATAACGTGGCAAATAAAAAATTTAACTATCAAAGAAAATTAATTAAAAAAAGGAAAGATAGGGGCCCACCCTTCTTCTTCCCAACAGTTACTAGGAACGGCGTTTAGTTTGCAAGACTGCAACCCTCTACGAAATCATGAATGGTAGAGCCAAATCGTCTGGGAGGGTAGATTGTTTCTTATGCAGTGTATGACAATTAAAATGGTCATTATATTAAACATGTTGTTGGTGGTTTTTCATCTTTCAAAACCATGTTTTAATTAGATGTCTATAAACTATAATCTTAGTATTAAGTATCGATTCTACCAATGTATTGTAATCTCTCTATTTAAAGACTCCATATGAATGTTTAAGAGAGATTTGATTAATGAAAAATAGTTTATTTGCCTTGTGCATTTGAAGAGGGTGAGTTTTCTCCTCCTTAAAATCAAGTGTGAGACTTGGTTGTGCCAAGTGAATCCACGACTATGCTCTAGCGACATGAGTGAATCTGTTGCCCCTGGTTGAGTGATTCCCAGGTTCTATCCCTGTAGCGACGTAAGTGAATTCGTTACCTCTGGTTGAGTGATTCCTAGGTTCTATCCCTGTAGCGACGTGAGTGATTCCGTTGTCCCTGGTCGAGTGATTCCCAGGATATCATCCCTCGTCTCTCGAGACTCCCCTTGGTCTGTCTACATCAAGTGGCATCAGAGTAGGTTTTCCGCTTCGAAGTTCAAAGGAAAAAAAAAAATTGTGTTGTTGATTCTACACTTCTTCAAATTGGAGTAAGATTCTCTCCCCTCTTTTTTCCCTCCCCTTCCCTCCCCACCTATTTGAACGGTCACGGTTAAGTTACGTTAACATCTTATATTAATTTTTTATAGCAAGAGAAAGACAAAATAAAAGAATGTAAGAGAAGGGGATGGAAAGAGGAGGGGAGAGAATCCTAGTCCCTTCAAATTTCAATTCTCTTTGTCCGAGTCACCAAAAGGTTACATATCAGTGGAAAGGTCTGCGAGTCCACTTTCCAACAAAAAAGACAATGCCTCAATCAAATTTTCTTTTTGCAGCAATTTACTAGCAAATAGTGAAAGGTGTACGTTTTGTGCAAAATCTGCAAGGCGCGATCCCTTTTTCAACGAAGAGATATACCAGCATCTTGTTCCAATGAATAATAATCAGGTATATGAAAGTCACTCTAGTATGATAGTTATGGAAGAATATTTGTTTTATTCACAAAGAATTGATTGGAATTTGCCTCCACTGTATGATGAGTATTCAGAATATGGTGTTTTATTGATTGCTACCAAAACAATTGGTGACTTTGAGGTGTACGTCGAAGAAGTCAATGCTTTGGTAGATATTGGTTCTTGCAGGGAGAAAATTTCAAATTGTGGAGATTGGCCCCAAATTATGAAGGTTGGACCCCAAATTATGAAGGATTTATAATATTTTAAGATGAGAAGATTGATTTGTTGACTTCAACACTCGAACACTATGGACTTGCAAAGGTATGGGGTGCGGCCAAGTGCTCAAGGAGCCATTCCAATTTGCTTTTTAATTCCCCAGCACATTGTTAAAGATCAAGATTTGGGAACTTTACAACCAACGAAATATTGTTGGGAAGGTGGGTCGAAAACCTAAGTTCAAATAAAGATTAAGCAGATGCAAACTCGAGGATGAGTTTTTTTTCCAAGAATGGGAGAATGACCAGTGCATGACAATTAAAATGGTCCCTGTATTAAACATGTTGTTGGTGGCTTTTCATCTTTCAAAGCCATGTTTTAATTAGATGTCTAGAAACTATAATCTTAGTATTAAGTATCTATTCTACCAATGTATTGTAATCTCTCTATTTAAAGACTCCATATGATTGTTTAAGAAAGATTTGATTATTAATGAAAAATAGTTTATTTGCCTAGTGCATTTGAAGAGAGTGAGTTTTCTCCTTCTTAAAATCAAGTGTGAGACTTGGTCGTGTCGAGTGAATCCACGATTAGTGACGTGAGTGAATCTGTTGCCCCTAGTTGAGTGATTCCCATATTCTATCCTGTATCGACGTGAGTGATTCCGTTGTCCTCTCCTCTGGTTGAGTGATTCCCAGATTCTATCCTGTATCGACGTGAGTGATTCCGTTGTCCTTTGGTTGAGTGATTCCCAGATTATCATCCCTCGTCTCCCAAGACTCCCTTTGATCTTTCTACAACAGTTTCTGTTATTTATTTACTTTTATTTTTGTTTCCAGGTTATACTGTTCTTGTCAAAACATCCTATACCATTTTATTATTGTATAGGTAAAATACCAAAACCCTAAAAACTGTTCATGTAAAAAATGTTTTGCGGTTCAGGGTTTTTTCGCAGATTAGTGTCTGGATTAGGTATACGACAGATGATTTAGGAGAGTGTATTCAATTGGGAATTTAAGAGATCTTAATGGATTTATAAATTCATGGATTTTTATGGAGTTTAATTGATTTGTAAATATTCCATATAAAATTTTGATTCAATTCCCTTAAAATCTTTTGGGAGAGAGGTGAGATTTGTGGATGCTCAAAACACACTACGAAATCTCTCCAATTCCCTCTAATTCCTCAACTTTTTCAAATTCTTTAAAATCAAATTCTAATTGAATACACCTGAAATGTTATAAACTTTTTGAAAATCCCAATTGAATACACCTAGATTTCTAAGGATTTTCATAAAATATCTTAAAATCCTGATTGAATACACATTGAATTTCAGAGAATCACTTAAATTCGTGATTGAATACCCCTAGATTCATTAATAGAATTAAAATCCCTCAAAATCCCAATTGAATACACCCTAATCTGATGATTCATATTAAAGAAAATTTCAATGAGGACCTTAGGTAAGCAGCTATAAGATGTCCCCTCAACGAAAGGGGAGGGTGTAAAGTATACATCAATATATATGGATCATGATTGGGGACGCATTTTTCAGCTAATGATAAAATCCCAAGAGAACAAACTTGTTTTCCATGCCATTGCCAACACAACAAATATCAACTAACCTTAAAATCCCAACAATATTATTAATTCTTCCAGTTCAAATTAGTAAAAATGTATATAAGTTTGATATTTCATATTATTAATTTAATCCAGCAGCCTCCCTCCTCAAGAACTGCTTCCGATCAACGTCTCTAAACTCCACAAGTTTCTTGATGTGCACTTTTCTTGACAATCTTTTTCTTTTTTTTAAAAACTCAATTGTTGACAATCTTCTTGGCACACTCCAACCAAGCTGTATACTTGGCTTCATATTTCTCAGCAAAAGGTTCCTTGCAAATTTTAAACCCAGGATTTTCGAGCAATCCTGTAGCCCTGAGATTTGCGAAATGCTCCTTTCGCTCCTTTCGTCTTGACCAAATACCGTCGCCACCAGGAGGTCCATAGTCAAGACAGATCACCTTTGACTTAGCCACATAAGTCACTTCATCATCTGGCTCCATAGTCCTCTTGGTAGTTTTGAAATGCTGCAAAGTACTAATTCCCCTATGACCAGCCTCCCTCCTCACGTCTGATTTATATGTAAATCATTAATTCACAGATTAATCAAATTGCCATATGTATATGAATATAAAATGGCAGAGAGAAATCTCAAAACTCCAACAAGTTAAACATGAGTAATATGCAGAAGGTGTCCTTCACAGAACCTTCAATTTATTTATTTCTCGTAAGTTAGAACAAATCCTAAATATTGTCAGTCATATATGTCAGAACCCTATTCAACATTGACAAGGGTGTTTGTCGAAAAGCCCTAATTGAAACCCCAAATTAATACGAAGTTTGTCGACAAACCCTAATTCAACATGGAGAAGGATGTTTGTCGAAAAGCCCTAATTGAAACCCTAAATTTACACGGTCTTCGTCGACAATCCTTAATTCAACATCGAGTTCATCATATTTTTTTTTTATATCAAGGTTCATCATATATTATAGAGGATACGATTTTTAATTAAGACAAATACTTTTGGCCCTTTTTCTTTTGCTAAAAGTAGTACACCACAATTTAATTATTCCAGTCAATCAAATTCTTTAGAGAAACCTATTTCCAAAAATAAATAGAAAAATACCAGTTTCTTCATGGGATGATGGATAATTGACATACAAAGGGAGTAATGGATCGTAATCAACAATCTTGTCATTGGCAGAGGCCTACAAAAAAAATTGAAAGCCACACAGAAGAAAAATATTGATCATAATCAATTTTATACTAATTAAAACTAAAAGATATTGATGGATAGATATCTAGTATCGGTCGGATAGAAACTTACCATCAGGTTCGAGGGTAGGGAGTCGTGAGATGTGAGAGAGAATCAAGAAGCAGGCGCCAACAAAGAAGGTTAGTAGACGAAGAGGAGGGGTGGGATGCACTCCCAATTTATAGCTAGCGATCTGACTTTGAATTTGGAATTTATTTATTTTTTGGTTGAGTCGGTTCAATTCTCTCTTCCCCTTTTTCTGACAGAATTCTCTCTTTCCTGAAAAATCAAAGATTTTGATTTCATGCAATTTTTTGTATTGGCAAAAATCTTCACTCTTTAACTTGTCGTTTTCAAAAACAGAATAAAAAATCTTCTCTATTAAAATAATATATATTTTTGTTGGAAAATCATTAAAAAATAATTAGAAAAGAAAACCAGTAACAACTAGGGATAGTTTTATAATATCATATCTTACGATTAATAAAGCATGTTATTTCAAAGTAAAAAATAGTAATTATAAGTAACATGTTGTAAATAGTATTGTGTAGACTACAAGTTGATATCCAATAGGATTTGGGAGATCTAATCACATTATGACTTGTATATTACTTGGAAAGCAAGTAAAGTCCATTGGGAAGGTAGGAGAATTCACAAGTATATAAGTGCATTGGCAAGTTATTTTCACAACATAATAAAATATAAGTGCATTGGCAAGTTTTTTTGTTTTTATATAATTATTATAATACTTTTTTTTAAGCGAAACAATGACGGTTTTATTAGAACGTCCATAAAAACTTAAAAAGTACAAAGTTCAAAGAGGAGCATTAGAACCCAACTCTACTACTTTCGATCAATTGCACAGTAAGTTGTATTAAAGAGAAGACTATTACAACATCAACAACTCCTTATTCTACCCAACAACTTAACCCAAATCTGTTACTAGCAATAGACATGTGTACAATCAAGATGATGCCACCTGGCATCATATCAAGGACACCCCGGATTAAACCACAGGGTTCTCAAACCAAACAGACTCAAAAGCATAAAACATAGCAACTAACTATTATCAACTATGATAAGTTATAAATATCCTCATTTAGCACAAGAGTTGAGTAACCAGCAGGATCCCCATGCCTGCAAGTATCCTCATAAGATTCGCTGGCGTTCTAATTTCTAAACGTTAAAGACATGCCTTACATTGGCTCAAAATACACCATGATAACGTACTTTACTTGCACATCTTCCACGACGACATGTTCTTCTCGGTTACCTCCATCATTACCTTGCCAACTGCAATTTCAAAATCTTCCTTTGTTACATGAACCTGTCTCGCCCTCCAAGCAAACATGCCAGCTTCTGTGCAAACGGCCTGCAGTATGGGGAATAAAAAACGAGCATAAAGATTTCATACTGCACACAAAACTTCACTTAGTGATAAACCCCTCAGGTAAAAAGAAAAGTACCTTCAGTTCTGCACCAGATGCACCATTCAGCTTCTCTTCAATCTTCTTCAGGTCAACTCCATCCATTAAATCCATTATTCTTGAATGAACTTTCAAGATTATCCCAACGAGACTGCAGTTTGTTTAATGCATTACTAAGTATTGTATTAGTCAAGTCAGAAAAACTGCAACGCAACCATCAAAAGTACAATAAGATAGAAAGTTATAATAAGCAAGTGTTGAAGATAATTCTATAAAGGCTCCGACTGTTGTGTTTGGCTCATACATTTGTGAGTAATTATGAGTCATGTGTTGACAACAATTGAAGACCACGTGAATGCTTTCAGTTGTGGTGAGGAAATCCTTGTTCAAGGGAAGACATGATGAGATCTGCCACAAGCAAAGTTGGAAGCCGGTCTTGACTTTGTGGGTTGCATGCAATTGTGCATGCTTTTTCTTCTATGCATTAAATGGAAAATGGAGAAATGGTTGCATGCTAGGTAGGCTAGGTGTTGAATATGCCATGTGAACTTAAAGATTTTTTTGGTCCTCGATGTTAGCATAGTTGCTAGTGTATGCCTATTACTAGTTGCAATATTTGTGCATGGGGTATGCATTCAGTGGAGAACACAGAGGTGAGAATCCACACAGAGGGGAAAAGCATTTGGCTCTCCCATGAACACAAGTTGAGAGAAAATCAAGAGAGCTAGACTGCTAGAGTGAAAGAACTAGTGGGGTAAGTGAGTTCTGAGGAAACTTTTGTGAGTGGGTGAACAAGGGATTCGGGATTGGGTTATGTCGATTTAACCCATATGTATCTTGTACTTGTTATTCTCATGGTGAAGAGTAATATCTCTCCAGGAACGTAAGCAGGATATGCCGAACCTCATAAAATTCTCGGTGTCTTTATTTTTTTGTATTTTTATTCTGTTCAAGTGTGGGTTGTGACTAGGTGAGGTTGTAATCTGCTCCTCGGTTCCGCAATGACTCGCCAAAGCACAACAAAGACTTCAGAGATAATCTCTATTTTCATGTGCCTTATTCCATAGAATACTGAGTCAGTGACCAAAAATAGGAAGAGCAAACCTTCATGTTGGCCTATGACAACATAAACCGACAGTATAGCGACTGGCACGTACCTCTTCATTAGGAATTGGAAATTTAATCTTCTTGTCAATTATTCCAGTGTTAAAAAGGGCTTGATACAAATGCATAGCTTGATATTTGGCTTCATCTTCATTTCAATTTTTCATCTTCAGCGGGAGCCTTGTGCACTGGGTACGACCTTTACTGGTAGTCGAGGCATGCTTCAAATGGCATTCCCGCTACCAAAGTGAACAGAATAACCAACAGCCTCCCCTGATCAACATATATTACATATATTATAGAGATATGTAAATCAATAATCCACTGATTAATCAAATTGAACCCCTGATTAAAACCCCAAAAATTGCTTCATTATCATATTAGAAGCCTAAATCAACGACAACAAAATGGAACAAAAGGAGAAGGGTGTTAATTCACAGACCCTAATTCAAACCCCAAATAACTTCATCATGTCCGACCCTAGATTAAGATATTATTATTTTTAAATTAAAAAAAGGGAATAAATCTTATAAAGGATCAAATTCCTTTGCTATAGTTAGTCGAATTTGATAGAACCCAATTAATCCTCCAATATTTTAATATTTTTGAGATTCAATTCTTCACCGAAACCTAAACCCTGATTTTAGAGATACAATTCTCCACAGAAACCCAACTCCCAAAATAACATCCTGACATCGGAATACTTACCAGTGCCTTCATCGTCGTCCAAGAATTCATACGGACTTTAAGTATATATGGATAATCAACAGTCATGTTGTTTAGCGAAGCCTACATAAAAAATGTTGAAAGCCAGGGGAAATACTGTGAAAAATAATTTTGAACTAAATTGATAGATCGGCATCGCCGCCGGCACACTTTGAAAAATCGGCGCGGTTCTAATGCTCTTACCATTAAAAGTTGAAAAACGAAGAAGAAAGCGACTCTCGGTTCAACATATTCTCTTTTATTTTCAGGAAAGAAAGGATAATGCTAGATGATCACATTTTTATACAAAAAAAACTAAGGAAAACTAATGAAAATGACTTGAAAATTTTGAGTTTTAATAAAGGATAAAATGAATAGTACCAGGTTTGACTTTTTAGTGTAAAAATATGATTTTTTGTCAAAGTGAATAGTACCGTGGACTTTTCGTTAAAACTCCCAAAAAACTATGTAGGCTTAACTGTAGGGATGATTTCTGAACTTTATTTTTAGTTTAATTTGATTCCTAAACTCTCATATAATTTTTTTACTTTTCGCTTAATAAGGTTTCATTTTCATTAATGTTACTTTTTCTTTTGTTAAATTTAGCCGTATATTAATTTTCATATTGTTTTTCTAAGTTTTAAGTTGAAACCCTAATGTACTCCTAAATTTAACGAAAAAGTGAAAATAACCAATGGTGCAACACATTATTAAATTTGAAAACTTTAAAAACTAATATGAGAGTTAATAAAGTAAAATCAAGCTAGAGATAAATTTCAACAACGATTGATCCGATTAAATTAATATTTAATTATTTTTAGTGGTGCTTTCTATCTACTCGAAGGTTTATTTTTAGCCGACATAAAACATGGTTTACTTTTAGAGAAAAGTTAATATAACTTTAGTTATTCTGAGATATTTATTTTAAAAAATTTGCAAACGACACTCTAAATTTTGAGGGGAGAGAATCGAATGGTAGGGTCATTTTCTGAGATGTTTTAAATTCGAGGTGACGCAAAAAAGTGTGCCTAACTTCATATAAAATAATTATTTGTTTTCACACGCAAAATTTCGATAAAATTATACTTAAAAAAAATCTAATAATTTAGAAATATAAAAAATTAATTTATTTGTATTGAGTAAAGAGAACAAAAAATCCCAGTTTACAAGTAGATAAATAATGAGTTTTGTGTCCCTGAAAACAACCCCTGCTTAAAAAACTAATTTATTTTCAGCAAAAGATAAATTCCCGAGAATGGCAGAAGAAACTTGTTTTCCATTCCGTTGCCAACACAACAAATATCAACTAACCATACAGTCCCAACAACATTAATTCTTCCAAATCTACCAAACTTAAAACATCAAGTCTTCCAGTTCAAATTAATAAAAATGTATAGTTACATACTTCATATTATTAATTTAATCGAGCAGCCTCCCTCCTCAAGAACTGCTTCCGATCGACGTCTCTAAACTCCCACAAGTTTCTTGACGTGCACTTTTGTAGACAATCTTCTTGGCACACTCCAACCAAGCTGTATACTTGGCTTCATATTTCTCAGCAAAAGGTTCCTTGCAAATTTTAAACCCAAGATTTTCAAGCAATCCTTTAGCCCTAAGATTTGCGAAATGCTCCTTTCGCTCCTTTCGCCTCGACCAAATACCGTCGCCACCAGGAGGTCCATAGTCACGACAGACCACCTTTGTCTTTGCCCCATAAGTCACTTAATCATCTGGCTCCATAGTCCTCTTGCCAGTTGTGAAATGCTGCGAAGCACTCTTTCCCTTATAAGTATTATCACTAGCAACTTCCCTCCTCAAGTCTGATCAATATATACATATATATTTATATGTAAATCATTAATTCACAGATTAATCAAATTAACATGTATGAATATAAAGAGGCAGATAAAAATCTCAAACTCCA